GCTCTGGGAATGCTCTGGGAATGCTCTGGGAATGCTCTGGGAAAGCTCTGGGAATGCTCTGGGAATGCTCTGGGAATGCTCTGGGAAAGCTCTGGGAATGCTCAGGGAAAGCTCTGGGAATGCTCTGGGGACACACGCGGCCGATCCCGCGGGAAGCTCCAGCTCCAGGCGCTGGGATCCAGCGGGATCGATCCTACCTCCCCTGGATCCTACCTGCCCTCGGCTGCTCCAGGGAAAGCCGGGAGCTCCGGCGGGAGCGCGGCGGCTGCTCCGCCCCGGCCGCGCTCCTCCTGCGCTCCCCGTCCCCTGCGGGACAGGGAAAGGCCGGGAATTGGGAATCCCGGGGAAACCCGCTGGGAAAAACTCCGGAATTGGGAATTCTGGGGAAAAACTGCTGGGAAAAACTCCAGAATTGGGAATCCCCGGGAAACCCGCTGGGAAAAGCAACGGAATTGGGAATTCCAGGGAAAAACCGCTGGGAAAAACTCCGGAATTGGGACCCGCTAGGAAAAGCAACAGAATTGGGAATTGAGGGGAAAAACTGCTGGGAAAAGCTCCAGAATTGGGAATCCCGGGGAAAAACCCGCTGGGAAAAGCAACGGAATTGGGAATTATTCAGGGGAAAACCCGCTGGGAAAAATCTCGAGAATTGGGAATTCTGGGGAAAAACCGCTGGGAAAAACTCCGGAATTGGGAATTCCGGGAAAAACCCACTGGGAAAAACTCCGGAATTGGGAATTATTCAGGGGAAAACCCGCTGGGAAAAATCTCGACAATTGGGAATTCTGGGGAAAACCTGCTGGGAAAAGCCCCGGAATTGGGAATTCCGGGGAAACACGCTGGGAAAAGCCACAGGAATTGCGAAGTATTCAGGGGAAAACCCACTGGGAAAAGCTCCAGAATTGGGAATCCCGGGAAAACCTGCTGGGAAAAACTCCGGAATTGGGAATTCCGGGGAAAAACCACTGGGAAAAATCTCGGGAATTGGGAATTGAGGGGAAAAACCGCTGGGAAAAATCTTGGGAATTGGGAATTCAGGGAAAGAAATCCTGAAGGGACAGAATCCTGAAGGAAAAGGGCAAGGATCGGCCGGGTGCTGCTGCTTTATCCCCGAAGGACAAAAGGAGGGAGGTGGAGCCTGCAGAGATCCCGGGAAGCTCCAGATCCATGGAATCAGGTGGGAGGAGGGGAAGGAGATTCCATAGGGATGGGATCCCTGCGGTTCCCCAGGGATGAGATTCCCTGGGTTCCAGAGGGATGGGATCCCTGGGTTTGGAGGGACGGGATTCCCAGGGTTCCATAGGGATGGGATCCCTGGGTTTGGAGGGACGGGATTCCCAGGGTTCCATAGGGATGGGATCCCTGTGGTTCCAGAGGGATGGGATTCCTGGGGATGGGATCCCCGGGGTTCTCTGGGGACAGGATTCCCGGGGTTCCATAGGGATCGGATCCCTGTGGTTCCAGAGGGATCGGATCCCTGTGGTTCCGGAGGGATGGGATTCCCGGGGTTCTGGAGGGACGGATTCCCTGGGGATGGGATCCCCGGAGGTTCCATGGGAATGGGATCCCCGGAGATTCCATAGGAATGGGATTCCCTGGGGATGGGATCCCTGGAGATTCCCTGGGGATTCCAGAGTTTCTGGATGGACAGAATTCCCTGGGGATGGGATCCCAAGGGATGCGATCATGGAAGTTCCATGGGGATGGGATTCCCCTGGGATGGGATCCGGGGGTTCCATGGGGATGGGATTCCCTGGGGATGGGATTCCCTGGGGACGGGATCCTGGAGATTCCCTGGGGATGGGATCCCGGGGGTTCCATGGGGCCGGGATTCCCAGGGCCAGGATTCCTGGGGCTGGGATCTGGAGGTTCCATGGGGATGGGATTCCTGGGGATGGGATCCAGGAGTTCCATGGGGATGGGATCCGGGGGTTCCCTGGGGATGGGATTCCCGGGGTTCCATGGGGATGGGATTCCCGGGGCCGGGATCTGGGAGTTCCATGGGGATGGGATTCCCTGGGGACAGGATCCCGGAGATTCCCCGGGGCTGGGATTCCTGGGGTTCCCTGGGGCCGGGATTCCCGGGGCCGGGATCCCGGGGGTTCCATGGGGATGGGATCCCGGGGGTTCCATGGGGATGGGATCCCGGGGGTTCCATGGGGATGGGATTCCCGGGGCCGGGATCCCGGGGGTTCCATGGGGATGGGATCCCGGGGGTTCCATGGGGATGGGATCCCGGGGGTTCCATGGGG